AATAACCAAGCCAAAAAAAAAAAAAAAAAAAAAAAAAGACCAATAGAATGAAAAGAGCACCTAGAGCATGGGGAAAATATTTTGCAAGTGTTCCTTGGAGAGAGGACTAAAATCTGGAATATGCAATGAACTAAAAAAAAAAGTAGGTAAGTGAAATGAATAGACACTTCACAAGGGCTGGGATTTAGCTTGGTTATGTCACATGCCTTGAAAGCACACGGTCCTGAGTTTGATCTCCGATACCAAACAACAACAACAAAACACAACAAAATAAAACAACAAACTCAAATAGACACTTCACAGAAAAAGAAGTACAAGTGGCCAATAATAGATGAAGAAAAAAAAATAGATGAAGAAATGCTCAACATCATTGGCCATTACAGAAGTGCAAATTAAAACAACATTGATGTTCAATTTCATTCCAGAAAAAATGGCTATCATCAAGAAATCAAATAATAACAAATATTAATAAGACTATGGCGAAAATTCTACATTGATGGTGGGGATGTAAACTCGTAAAACAATTATGGAAATCATTAGGAAAATTCCTCAAAAAACTGTAACTAGAAATTCCATTTAACCCAGCTATTCCCCATTCTTGGTATTTTCCTGAAAGATTTAAAGACATCAGGTTACAGTGATGCATATATGCCCATGTTCGTAGCAGTACTCTTCATAATATCTAAATCTTCGAAACAACCTATTTGTCCATCCTCAAATGAATAGATGAAGAAAAATGTGGTATTTACACACAACAGAGTACTACTCTGTCATAAAGAAAGATAAACGTCAGACATTTGTAGGAAAATGTATGTGCCATTTATATGAAATAAATCAGACACCCAAACTTCAATATAATATGGTTTGTTATATAAAAAACACAAAATATAAATAAAGAGCAAAACAAAGGATAATAGGAAGTAGTATTTGTTAAATAGGAAGGAGATCAAAAGATGGAGGGGAAAGAGACTTGAGGTAAACACAATCAAAGAAAGAACTAGGCTGTGTTATGTACCATTCCACACAAGGACTGTGAACAGTATGTACTACTAACATATAAAAAAGAATAAATCAAGAGAACCAAAAGATGTTTGGAAGGGTAGGGAGGGAAGGAAAAGGGGGTGAAAGAAAGGATTAAGTTTTATTATACAGGTGCAAACTCCCCCAAGGAACGTAAGCATTTTGTACTAAAAACACATACCAAAAATGTGATCACCCAGGACATTTTCTACATCGCTTGATTTGGACTTTGAAGAATTCTTTAGTCTATGGTGACAGGAAAGAGGAGAAATGTGGTATCTCAAAAGGAAATATTGTAAGCAGGGTATGTTATTAGTGAATGCGAAGCAATTTGATATTTATAAAGCATGGATTCCTAAAAATAAATTCTGGAAATGAAGCTATCATGTTGGTTAAGAGCTAAATTGTAAAGATGTATTAAACAATGTATTCTTCAATTTTGTTTCAAGGGCTTAAGAGAAATATATCAACACATTGCATAGAGATTTTAATCTTTCATCACCCCAATTAAATTAGAATCAAACAAATCTAGAACAAAAATACATGTTAATTACCATTCTTTTAATCGATTATTCTATAATAATAATTTGTGTGGCCAAAGAAAGAAAAGAATATAAAAGAATGTTGTGAGGTTTATATTTTCTTGTGTTCAGGAAGGTCTGTTCATTGCCTCTTCCATTCTACAACCTCCTTTGAAAGCCCCTGAAATTATGCCTTATTGTAGGAGGAGCAGACTCTGAAGATAAGCTGTGTACTGGGGTTGAGTTTGCCTAACAGAAAGGCTCTGCAAAAATCTGCCTGGGGGGTAGTTACTCATAGAATTAATCAGATTTCTACTCTGGGAAATCTGAATCCAAGTTTCATAGAAAAATAACTTGAAAATATATAGGACAAAAGCAAGCATGAAACTGTAATAAGCCAAATGTAAGTAAACAGAATGTATAAAGGGAAGTTCAGTAATAAGAAAAATTAACTAATCACTGGTGCTGGCAAAAGAAACAGAGACGCGTTGATTTCTGTTAGTGTCACAGAACTACAGTGCTCAAGGGAAATGAGCTAGGCTAACTCACATTCCACCTAACTTCTAAAAACCTCTCCAAACTAGCCCTATTACTATTACATTTACTACACTTCACATGAGTCCCCTTCTACATATATTTCTAGATTCCCTTGGGAACTGGATATGCAAGTGCTATTCCAAGTTCTCTCCTCTCTTCTTTCATTTTTCTCTCCTTTCTCCTCTCTCTTCTTCTACATCCCTTCCTCCTTTCCTCCTTCTCTTCTCCCTCCCTTCTTTCCTTTCTATTTTTTTCCTTCCTTACAGTTGTCCCTGTTGCCTTCTCTTCTAATCTTTACTTCTTGGATAATTATTTACCATTAACATTTTTATTGTGCAGCAATTAAAATAAAATGACACAAGCTTGTTTTTATATTTTAAATTTACATTAGATATGTATACTTATGCACACACATAAATTAAATAACAGAAATTAATACATCAACACAATAGGCACTAAATAAGTATTGATTGACTATAGTTGATTTATTGAATATTTTTGTGCAAGTTTGTACTTTTTAAATCAGTTATAATTTTCCAATAAATATTTATTGAACATTGGTTTAGTAGTCCTAACCATCATTGCTTAACCCAACGTATTTCTTCCAAAGTGAAACGAAGGGTGGCATGGCATTTCTGATATCCGTCCAAGTTATCTATAATATGTGATAAATTTTATGGTATAAGGGAGCAATTAGTCATGTTTCCCATAGTATCAAAGTTTGCTTGTGCTCACCCTTACAGCTCTTGTTAGTTGTGGAAGTGGCCACTGCCATGTAGAGTATACACCAACCTGGCTAGGGACATTCCACGAGATAGAAAGGCATCTTGACTTCTCTATACTCTGTTCAGCATGAAGGTTTCTGTCAATCCAGAACTGACCCTGGGATCTCAAGGCAGCAAGGGCTTGCGCCAAAGCCAAGATTGCTGGGCACAGCAAAGTTACCTTTGATTTTTAAAACTCAATACTCATGTAGCAAGTCCTTAAGTGCAGCCCTCTTCAGTGGGAGGGGACCTAGACTGTACATCTCGACAGGCGTTATGTCAAGATACCTGTGGACATATTTTAAACATCACAGAGGTAATCACATTTTCAATACCAAGTTGTAAGATGGGCAGCAAGCTTAACAAGGAGGAGACCATCTGGGCTGCTGGTTTGCTGGGATATGGATGCTTCCTGGCATGTAGAAATTTTAATGCTGCTGGGAAAGTTCTGGATAAATTGAGAAGAATCGATTACCTTTACATTATTTTACAAAACCCAAAATGAAAATGTTTCACACAAAAGTATTAAGTCTTCATTATAAAAGACCATTTCAGGACTACTGTAGTGTATTTCATGGAAAGTAACAAAAGAGAGAAGCTTTCTAAACAGAGCGTTTCCCGGGCAAAAAAATTAATAACATTGTCTCCTGCTTAAAGACTTAGGTAATTAAGTCCAATATCACATAAATATCTTTGACCATCAAATCTTTCTCATGTAAACTTGTTAAATGGAATATATTTTGAAGATGAGCTAAATATAAGCAAACAATACCATAAATCCCTATTTGTTCAATATAACATTATTAATATGGAAACATTTCTAAGGATCAAAGATTAAAGAGTACAGTATTTTTGAACATGTGTATGTTGTATATTTCCTGCCTCACTAATTTGATTTTAGGTATATAAATATGACATTAATTCAGGTAGAAATAAAAGTATAGAGTTAAGTCATGGATTTCCAGAAATAGAGCCAATTTTATTTTAAATAAAATAAAGTAACAGACACCCAAGCTTAAATTATCTAGCTAAATGTCTGTGTGGGGAAGTTCACACATCCTCCACACTTTCTGTTTCACTCTAATCAGAACCATTAGTCTTCTCATTCTTTTGAATATGAAATTCACCTGCTGTGGAAAAATACAAGACTATTCTATCTTCTATAAAATACAAAGTCCCTTTTCAAAAATCATGGTATGTTCTTTAAACATCATTTCTCATTAATGAAGATCAGTCAACATAAGGCTTAATAAATTTCTCAATTCTATTTTCTGAAATTTATTAATGAAAATTAAGAATTATTTTTAATTAAAATGACACAAAATCAAGGGATTGAGATAATGAAAATATTCATATGATTTTACTCTCTGCTTTAATGCAGCATCATTGTAGCATTGAATCCCTTATAGAAGCCAGAACAAGAGTTAGAGTTCTGGAGTTGGAATGCAAAATGACTACAAAATGTCTAAGCATGGAGAATTAGAACATGGGTCTTTGACGTGGCAACCTGTAGTTACCGTGCTGTGTGATTTGGGTTCATGCAAGTCTCTCAAACTTCAGATTTGTCATCTATAAAATAGAGGATATTTTTTATACCCACTTTTGAAGTGTACAGATAAAAGGAGCTATCACGTGTGCAAGTATATATGAAGAATAATATATATTACTGCCATGATCAGGGATCAGTTTGCACCAAGGAAATATGCCATTCCTTCTGATAGTAATTGCTAGCAGTCATTGTTAAGTACTTTGTCATTGCCTGGTCTTATGCTAAACACTCCATTACTTAATTCTAACGGCAGTTCTTTTAAGATGGAATATCACTTTCATTTTACAGTTGATTAAACTGAGAATAAGAGTTATGAAGGCATTTCTCAAGAACACACATATAATGAAGAGGTAGGAAATGTGTATGTTTTTTTGGAACAATCAAATAATATTCCAGGCATCACAAAAATAGATTTTACCCTTGGCCTTATTAAGTTCTTAAATACCTAGTGAAATTGAACTAAAATATATTTTATGCAATATTTATAGCTATTTTTATTAGATGTATGATTAATTTAATAGCGGCTTCCTTTTAATTGAGCAGGAGTATTCGTCTGGCCTTGTGTGGGAATTTCTACATGCATTATTTCATTCAACAATTCAACCAAGAAAATATCACTATTATTACACAGGTAAGCAAACTAACATTCCATCTGGCTAAATAGATAGTACTGCCTAGATAGGTAGTACTTAGTATCAATATTATATATTGTACCTAGGTTCCTATGTTACTGATTTTATGCGATGTGCTATTTTTACATTCTATACAATTGAAACACATTTCTACTGAGTTATTGAAACACCAGACATTTTTTTCTAGTATAACAAATTAAAAAAAAAAAAAATCTATTGAGCAAGTGTTGTGAATATAAAATCTTAAAATCTAAGCTTTCCTTCTGTCTTTGGTGGTTTCTCAGCAATTCACCAGCAGATCTGTCAGGTACTGTCAGCAGATGATGACCCAAAAATATCAATGGAGATTCTCAAAAGAGTACAGTCCATCCACATGGCTGCTTCGAGTTTCCATACCTAAACCTACTGGTATGACTCTTCTGTAACGATCACTAAAATGAAACTTCTACTTTGTCCTCTCAACACAAGTACCATTAGGAATAAAAAGAAGAGAGTTTAATAATATGGAAGAGATGTAAGTTTTAATCCTCAGAATTCCTGAGTTTCCATATTATTTGTCATTGCAAAAAATTCACTGTCCTATTCTCTTTGTGCTATTTTCATAAAACACATACATGATCATTAATGTGATTTCTCACCTTGAGTTGAGTAAGGACCTCCGAGCAGATTAATAAAGGTCTGTCCATGTCTGTGTGAATGTTTCACATCTGGGCCACAGCTTGAGAAGGGAAGACTCATTCTGGCTGTGGGTAGCATCAATTGATAGGCTTTTAGCCTGTGTAGACTAAAAAGGGAAAGCAGAAGGAAGACTTCCTTTTTGAGGATTTGATCTTTGCCATTGCCCTTTATTTTCTTCATTTACTTCAGTTCTCCAGCACAGACTTTCAACTTTCCAAGGCAGACCCTCGACTTTAACTACAGTCGCACTAGACTCTGCAGTTAGCTCAAAGTTGCATGCACAGGGCCGTTCTGCAGTACTCCATCCCTGATTCCATAGGCGGCCATTGAAAGCCTACCTACTAAATCCCTCATTTAATAATTCACATGCACATATAAACATTAAATCTGTTCCTCTAGGGAACCAATATAACATGGGCCCGGGTAATTCTCAAATAATAATGACTATATATTACACTTTAGGAATGAGAAAACCAAGATAAATTTGCCAGCCAGTTCAGTGTGTGGTCAGGGTATTCTTGCTATTTTCTTAGTTGATGGAAGAGCAAAAAAGCCCTCCCTCTAGATCCTATAAATGGCTCTTAATGCCATCAGTACGTCTTTATGACATCACCAACTTCCAAAATGGCCATTAAGTCTCAGCAAATGAATATGGGAAGACATATAATAGCTTTCAGTTCTCCTCACTGATACTGCTTTTTTGATATGTCTTTCCAGTCTAAAACTTTTTACTTAAAATTTTTAAAAGACAAATCAGAAACTGAATATTAACTAATGCATTTGGATAATGTTTTTGGAAAGCACAGGCTTGATAATACTAAAGTGAGTCAAAAATAGTAAAATAAATTTCCAAATGTAGAAAAATAAGCAGAAAGAAAACCCAAAGAGATCACATTTGTCTATGTGAAATTCATTTTTTTGCCTCGGATGCTATTGGCTATTACGGGGATTTAGCTCAGGGGTTCTGCCACCTGCCTCACAAGTGCGAGGTCCCGAATTTGATCCCTGTACCAAAAAAACAAAAAACAAAAAAACCCAAACTATCCTTGAATAACAAGTATGTGTGCTGCCGAAGTAAACACAACCTTTGGATAACAAGAAAGAAATGCCCATTTGGGGGAACGTTTGGGGCTACGGGGAGTAATAATTCTGCTTTATGTTGAGTTTATGAATTTTTGCTCATTATGAAAGTACTTGTGCTATCTATCCACTGAAAAGCAACAATATACCACAGACATTTTCTCTCTCCATTTAATTACTAATAATTATATGAGTGAGACAATATTATGTAACAGTACTGATTTTACTGTGAAAGTACTGACAATGAGAAAAACTAAGAAGTTTTATCAAAGAAACACGGCTTATAATGTTAAATCTGGGACTTGAAATTTTATCTGAGATTAATTTTGCTGCTCAACATTTTCAAGATAATTGGGTCTTATGAATTAAACTAATGAAAATTTTTCAGAGAACGGTTTAACCGAACATATGCACGAAAGCAGCAAGTACATAAGTGTGTTGGTGTAGACACACACATATATGCATGTATTTCCCGTCGTTCTTATGTTTTTATATTTATTGGGAAACAGAAATATTTTATGCTTTTCTTCCATAGACCCGTGGCTTTTTCGAAGCATGAGATTATGGGCTCCAGTTCACAATCAAGCTTTCTGGAGAAATGCTGGAAGGTTAAGAGTGGTTGATGGCGAACACTGAGCAAAGCAAGCAAAATATATCCGTGGGAGACACAAGAGAGAGAGGGAGCGACGGATGACATCTGTGGAAAGGTAAAGGGCCGCTGCAATGGAGGACAGCAAACTCTGCTAGTGGCTTTGACTTACTAGAGTTTCTTATAGATTTAATATTTATATGAATTAAGTAACTTGAAGGCCCAAGAATTTATGTTTTACCAACTTTTAAAGAGAGACAGTATGGATTGTTTAAAACAAAGTTAAGCAAAAATAGATTTCTAGAAATAATTATCACATATGGGACTCTTCCCATGCCAGTTTAATTTGAGTAACTGTGCTTATAGCTATCAGTGTCCAAGTTTTCTCTATATAGCAATTCTTATAGCTCTCTGAGTGACCAACCGCTACCAGTATCACTAAATTCAAATGCTCCAATATTTATGTGCAAATGTGTGGGCTCGGGCCTTGGCATTCTTCTTATTCAATCAATTGAAAACTAAAACTGATCTATTTCTGGCTTTTCTCTATTTTGCCTTTTTCTAGCTATCATCAAAATCATTCACAATGTCCCTTGAAAATATTACACAATACAGTTGGAGAAGGGATTGTTTGGCTCTTTCCTCTCTTCCTTTTCCCTCCTTTGAACTGCATTCTGCTATTTTCAATAACAAGGCTATTTTTCATAGCAGAAAGTGGGCTAAAGATTTCAGCCAAGCAAGCTTATTTGGCTGAGGGTGGTTATTCCTGTAAAGTCACTTTATTATCTCAACCTTGCATGTTTAGGTGGATCTTTTCACTAATAGTACGTTCATGGATTACTCAGAGTTAGTCCCTCTTTCCAGGGGCCTTCTCTGTGACTACGCTGATACTCATTTTACACAGCCTCTGCACTTAAAGCTCCATAACATCTTTCAGCAGTATTTAAAATGTCTCCAGTCATGTCCCTTTTCCTCCTTGTGGCCCACATTCTGCCCACTGGAAATTCTCATATGCTTTATGACCCAGTAAACTCTGGAATCTGCACATATCTCAGATTTCTACCTTGTGATCAAGTATTACTTGAGGGGGGAGGTTGAGACAGGGTCTCACTATGTAGTTGAGACTGACCTGGAACTCATTATGTAGCCCAGGCTGGTCTCGAACTCACAGCCATCCTCCTGCCTCAGCCTTCAGAGGGCTGGAATTACAGGTCTGCGCCACCATGCCCAACTATTTCAAGTATTACTTTTAATACTTTGGGTAGTAGCCACTAGTCTGTCATGCAACAATAAGGAAAATATTTAATGGTTTCTGAAGATTCCACTGAACACTCGTCCTTCAATTTGTGGATGAGGTAAGATTCTTCTATCCTTTTGATTATAGGTACTCACAGGATGGCAAAGGAAGTATAAAGATATCTCTTTTTGTTATCATTCCCCTTTATACTCTGAGCTGCCAGAACAGGGTAAATAAGTGTAATACTAGGTCCTGACTTTTTTCTACTGCATACTTTTTCTTTTCTGCTGGAACACATTTCAAGTCAATATTGTAGAAATACTAATACCTATTTTATAGGTACTATTCTTGAACCTAAAGTTGAAATGGTTAAATTTTACCCAGTTCTAAGTAACAAAAACAAAACAAAACCTTTCAAAATTTTCATAAGATTCTGTTCCATTTGAATTTTTCTAAGAAATTTAAGTCTACCTGGCTCCCATAAGCTAAAATTAATATACCTTGACAAATGGAAGACTCCAAAGTCATCCAAGTTAAATTTTATTTTCTACAGCATTATATTTCTTCACTTCAGGATTGGATTTTATCCACTATGCTGGAGACACATTAAGGATAGGGAGTATGATTTTGAATTGCCATATCACATACTTCAGCACTATTCCAGTCATCTAGTAAATAAGACAAATAATTGTTCAAACAAATCAAATAAGAATAAAGTATCACCAACTCAGAAACAAAGAATATTCATCTCTCTGCTCTGCTGTGAGAATGGTTAAAATCTTCTAATATAACATTACATGCAATGATCAGGAGCAAGAGTATTATCTTCTATTCCCAAATCTGGCATTTCCTGAGAAAGAGAATAAACACTGAACAATTCTTGATGTATTTTTCAATTCTCAGTAAATCCTCTTTTCATTTTTCCACAACCACAATCCTGTACTCAACTCAGCATTTTTCTGTACAAATAGGAAGGTAGAGGTCCAGGGATTTGGCTCAGTGGTTCCCCTGCCTGCCTCACAAGTGCAAGGTCCCGAGTTCAATTCCTGGTAAAAACAACAACAACAAAGAAGGAAGATAGGTGTATTCAGTGCAAACTGTCAGATTCCTTTGCAGACATCTGCTAATTTCTTACACTAATAAAGGATCAGTACAAAAGGATTTTTCCTTGCAACAAATAGGCTCTATGTATGCAACAAAAGGGCTTATTTTACAGTTTTAAAATTTTGGTATTGCATTAAAATTGGAAAGTTTTGAACTAAAAACCACAGAGGCAAATAAGACTACATAAAAAAAAATGAAGGAACAAGACATCATTTCTGGAACTGTAGAATAGGATAAAAATTTGACCAATTGACAAGGAAAGAAAATGAATGAGGATACAGGTGAGATTAAGGGGAAGCAAGCTCCAGAGAATTAATACAACAAGTTATAATTTGGGGGTAAGTGTCAGAGCCGCATGTGAAGGTCTAAGTGGATTTAGTGGAAAACAGAGGCAGGAACTTGGGCTGGCCTCCTGCTACATCCTAGGAAGCTCGATTCCCCATTAGAGCCACAATAATGAGGGAGATCACCGAGTTTGGGATCACAGAGAGCAGTTCAACATGCTCTCTAGTACTGCAATGCGGTGTAGAGAAAGGACAGTTTCTGAGCTTTTCAAGAGGGCTCCTCCAGCAGGCTTTAGGACTGAAACAGAAAACTTTGAGGATTTATGTTTACTCTCAAATCCGAGGCAACCAGAGAACTTTCTACGAACTCAGTAGCTGCAATGGAGACAGAAGCTCCAGCTCAAAGACAGCAGGAAAAACAGCATGTGAAGAGGGGACCTTGACAAAGTGCCCTTTCACAATGCCAGGATGGGTGCCTCAGTCTTCCTGGAATTTAGCTCATGCCTAGTGAAAGCAATACAAGAGCAATGAGGGATGCCAGACTGATTGTGAACCGACCCACTTTTAACACGGGGATCATTCAGTTCTAGGATTAAATTTTTATTACTACTAACTCCTCCCAAGATAAAATAATTGCTGTATAGATAAAGATAATGCATTTAAACATTTTACCCTTGAGCTTTGCATACTGATAAAAATATGAAATCATAATGCCCATTGCTTTGGCCATGGCAATTTCCGGGCTCTGTGCTTCTGTTTCTTCAAACACTGGAAGAAGTCATAATTAGAGTGACTTTATATGCCTGCGTAATTGTTGATAACCTTCTCCTTTTACTTCCCCAAATGTCTCACCTATGGTTATTGTTATAATTTAGGACTAGAATGTTCCTTAAAAATTCTCCTGTGTTCAGAGATGGAGCTTTTGAAAGGTGACTGGGTCATGGGGGCAGACCATACTAACCAACACGTTAATCCACTGATGAGTTCATAGCTGAGTATACTGCTAGGAGGTGTAGCTTGCTTGAAGAGCCGGGTCCCTAAACTAGATGGGTGCGGTCTTCTCCATGACTCTCTCTTTCCCTCTCCCCACTTTCCCCCCGCCTCTCTCTCCCCGCATTTCTGGCTGATTTGGACTGAGCAGGTTTCTTCCACCAGTGATGCAGTTTCATTACACGATTTCTGCCTTGGAGCCAGCCGAATATTTAACTGAATCCTCTGAAAAGTACAACTGAAAATGTACTCTTCACACTTTAAATGGCAGGTGTAGGGTTTCCCGACAATAGGAAAACTAATATGGTTACCTTATAATAATAAAATAACTCAGGGAAAATTTTTTGTCTATTGTATTGCAGATAAATTCCATCACAACACCTAACATTTTCCAGGCACTCAATACACTACTATAATCATTTCAAAGCAGCATGATTGCACTCCACAAAAAAGTTTTGAAATGTGTGCAATTTCTTTAAATATAGGAAAAATTTTGATTTCTCAGGTCAACTTTTAGGAATGCGGTTTGCCTTTTGTAAGATGATTCTGAACAAATTAATGATGCACTTCTCCCTTAATAAAAGAAAATGCTACGAAACAAATATATAAAGCAAACTATCCCAATTTATACATTAGATAATATTTCATTATTTAGCTTAATCATGACGCCATAAATTTAATGTTTACCTACCAATGCAAGGAAACACAGTAACCAGCAGGTTATTTAAACTCAAAATGTTTCAATGAACTAGGTGCTCTCCTATTAAAGTCATATCTTAACAATAACAACCAATGAGGAAATATTTCTATCCTATTTGGACAAACATTCTCATTTAGATTTACCATTGAGGAGTACCTCTAGCAGTAGATTTCTTTCCTTAAAAACAGAGTAACCTGTTCTTAATTCATGACTAATAATCGCTCCCTGGCAATGAATCCTTCGAGGAAAGGTAAGCTATTATTTATGAGAAACTAAAATAGACATAATACTAAATATCCTTTTAGCCCATAACATCATATGAGACACTTGAAGACTCTCCCTCGTGAGGCATGGTGGTGTAATGATATTAGAAAAATAGCCATCTAACTGATCATAGACTAATATGTGTGCCAAAATGCCAGACAAGTTATGCGAGCCGTGTAGAAAATGCGGGTGTGGTGCCTAACTCTATCCACTTCACACAGGAAACATAACTATTTCTGTCATCTACTGTGGCCTTCCCGCAGGATTTCATCCTTGATACGTTTCTATACTGGTCCTTGCGGATCCCATTTAGTCCGGACTTCAATTATCACCTCTGTAGGAATGATTCCTGTGGCTACCCAATCATTTTTCCTTTGTGTTTATTTAAAATCTTGAGTTCTTTGAAGAGTGCTCCCTCCATCCTTGCTACTTTCTGTGTTTTTGCCCTTGCCACTTACAGGAATTATGGGTCACCTTGAGGGAATTTCTAGTCCAGTTTCTGACTTAATTCATATGACCATCTTAGTAATCTTCCTTGC